GTCTTGCTCTGTTGCCCAGACTGGAGTGCAGTGGCGTGATCTCGTCTCACTGCAACCTCTGCCTCCCCAGTACAAGTGATTCTCCTGCCTCAGCCTCCCAAGTAGCTAGGACTACAGGTGTGTGCCACCAAGCTCAGCTAATTTTTGTACTTTTAGTAGAGATAAGGTTTCACCATGTTGGCCAGGATGGTCTCGATCTCTTGACCTCGTGATCTGCCGGCCTCTGCTTCCCAAAGTGCTGGGATTACAGGCGTGAGCCACTGTGCCAGGACTCATTTTTTTTTAAAAATAGAGATGGAGTCTTGCTATGTTGCTCAGGCTGGTCTTGAAATCCTGGGCTCAAGTGATCCTCCCACCTCAGCCTCCCAAAGTGCTGGGATTACAGGCATGAACCATCGTGCCCAGCCAAACAACTTCATTTTAATTTACTGATAGGGAACGCTAGCATGAGTAACTCCATTTTAGTATGGCCTACTGGGGCCTAGTACAGGAGCTCAGTCCAAAACAATGGTCTCCTATAAATGTTTATTATTTATTTATTTTTTGAGACAGAATTTTGCTCTTGTCGCCCAGGCTGGAGTGCAATGATGCGACCTCAGCTCACTGCAACCTCTGCCTCCTGGGTTCAAGTGAGTGTCCTGCCTCAGCCTCCTGAGTAACTGAGATTACAGGCATGTGCCATCACACTCAGATAATTTTTGTATCTTTTTTTAATTGTACTTTGGGCTGTGGGGTACATGTGCACATCCTGCATCCTGCAGGATTGTTGCATAGGTACATACATGCCATGGTGGTTTGCTGTCTCCATCCCCTGCCCCCGTAATTTTTGTATTTTAGTAGAGACAGGGTTTCACCATGTAAGTCAGATTGGTCTTGAGCTCCTGACTTCAGGTGATCCACCCACCTCAGCCTCCCAAAGTGCTGGGATTACAGGCGTGAGCCACGGCGCCTGGCGTTGCCTCCTGTAAATATTATTGAACACTGTGCTAATCATTTCACTACATATATGTACATTAAATCATCACATTATATACTTCAAATATATAAAATTTTTAATCAATTATCCCTCAGTGAAGCTAGAAAAAAAAGCCAATGGTTATCAACTCTGGCTAAGCATTAGAATAACCTAAGGAGCTTTTTTATTTTTTTATTTTTTTATTTTATTTATTTATTTATTTTTTGAGACGGAGTAGTTTCGCTCTTGTTACCCAGGCTGGAGTGCAATGGCGCCATCTTGGCTCACCGCAACCTCTGCCTCCTGGGTTCAGGCAATTCTCCTGCCTCAGCCTCCTGAGTAGCTGGGATTACAGGCACACGCCACCATGCCCAGCTAATTTTTTTGTATTTTTAGTAGAGACGGGGTTTCACCATGTTGACCAGGATGGTCTCGATCTCTTGACCTCGTGATCCACCCGCCTCGGCTTCCCAAAGTGCTGGGATTACAGGCTTGAGCCACCGCGCCCAGCCTGAAACCCCGTCTTAAACAAACAAACAAACAAACAAACAACAGCGAATTCTTGGGGCCGGGCACAGTGGCTCCTGCCTGTAATCCTAGCACTTTGCGTGGCCGAGTCAGGCGGATCACCTAAGGTCAGGAATTTGAGACCAGCCTGGCCAACATGGCAAAACCCCATCTCTTAAAAATACAAAAATTAGGGCCGGGCGCGGTGGCTCAAGCCTGTAATCCCAGCACTTTGGGAGGCCGAGGCGGGTGGATCAGGAGGTCAAGAGATCGAGACCATCCTGGTCAACATGGTGAAACCCCGTCTCTACTAAAAATACAAAAATTAGCTGGGCATGGTGGTGCGTGCCTGTAATCCCAGCTACTCAGGAGGCTGAGGCAGGAGAATTGCCTGAACCCAGGAGGCGGAGGTTGCGGTGAGATGAGATCGCGCCATTGCACTCCAGCCTGGGTAACAAGAGCGAAACTCCGTCTCAAAAAAAAAAAAAAAAAAAAAAAAAAAAAATTAGCTGGTTGTGGTGGTGGGTGCCAATAATCTCAGCTATTCTGGGGGCTGAGGCAGGAGAATTGCTTGAACTTGGGAGGCGGAGGTTGCAGTGAGCTGGGATTGCATTACTGCACTCCAGCCTGGGTAAAAGAGTGAAACTCCATCTCAAAAGCAAAACAAGACAAAAACCCAAGCAAATTCTTTCCTGCTTCTACCTTTTAAATTTTCAGAAATCTGTATAATCTCAGGACATCCTAGTCCAGAAACTCTCCCCATAGGCAGGAAAAAGAATGACGTCTTGCTCCTTGTTTCAAGTTTGTACATATTCACTCAAAAAGGTTTGCTGAGTGCTACTATGTTCCAGAAAGTATATTTCATATACAGGGAACAAAACGGACAAGCAGCTGCTCCAGTGGCTTTTGCATTCAACCACCAATTTGAGATATCTGTAAACTGGGGATAATAGTAGCTACACTAGATGGTTGTTGTGAGAATCAAATGCAGGCCAGGGACAGTGGCTCACAACTGTAATCCCAAAACGAGGCCAAGGCAGGAGGATCACTTGAGGCCAGAAATTTGAGACCAAGCCTGAGCAATGAGATCCCATCTCTACAAAAAAATGAAATAATTAGCCAGCTGCAGTGGCTAACACTTGTAATTCCAGCACTCTGGGAGGCCAAGGTGGTTGGATCCCCTGAGGCCAGGAATTCGAGAGCAGCTTGGACAACATTGTGGAACCCTGGCTCTACTAAAAACACAAAAAATTAGCTGGGCATGGTGGTGGATGCCTGTAATTTCAGCTACTCAGGAGGCTGAGGCAGAAGAATCTCTTGAACCTGGGAGGTGGTACTAAAAGTACAAAAATTAGTGGGGGTGGTGGCAAGCGCCTGTAGTCCCAGTGATTTGGGAGGCTGAGGCAGGAGAATTGCTTGAACCTGCGAGGTGGAGGTTGCAGTGAACCAGGATCACACCACTGCACTCCAACCTGGGTGACTCTGTATAAAAAAAACAAAAATTAAAAAATTAGCCAGGCATGGTGGCACACAACTGTAGTCCTAGATACAATGTAAGCTGAGGCAAGAGGATGGCTTGAGCCCAGGAGTTCGAGGCTGCAGTGAGGTATAATCATGTACTCCAACATGGACTCCATGTCCAGCCAGCAAGACACTTTTAAAATAAAATTAGAAGGCCGGGCGTCGTGGCTCACGCCTGTAATCCCACCACTTTCGGGAGGCCAAGGCGGGCAGATCACGAGGTCAAGAAATCGAGACCACCCTGGCCAAGATGGTGAATCCCCCTCTCTACTAAAAATACAAAAACTAGCCGGGCGTGGAGGTGCATGCCGGTAGTCCCAGCTACTCGGGAGGCTGAGGCAGGAGGATCGCTTGAACCCAGGAGGCGGACGTTGCAGTGAGCCGAGATTGCACCACTGCACTCCAGCCTGGCGACAGAGCGAGACTCGGTCTCAAAAAAATATATAAATAATAAATAAAATTAGAAACAATCATTTTAAAAGAGAATCAAATGCAATTCTTCGTGTAAAGCGCTTAGTGACTGACACATAGAGCTCAGTAAGTAGATATTTTTAGTGGGAACTGAGCTGCCGTGGATATAAAAATAAGTACCACTTGCATTCCTTAGTTTGGAGGGGAGACAGATGTCAACAGGATGTCGAGTGCCAGGGAGGGGCTGAGCAGGAGAGGTCACGCCTGCTCTGCGCCTGCACTGCGCCTCAGAGGATGGCGTTTATCAGATGATGCAGTAATTATTCCAGCCAGTGCAAAAGAAAGGTGAGGGAGGTGATGCTCCAAGCAGCTGGCTCCGGAAGTAGAGGAGACGGAGAGGTGGGAGTGTTAAAGCAAGAGTTAATTAAAACAGGCTGATGATAGTAGTGGGATAAGACTGGTAACGAAAAAAAAAAAAAAAAAAAAAAAAAAGACTGGTAACGTTCCTGTATTCCATCCCAGCAATTTTAGGCTTTTTCCTTGTAGGTAGTAGACTGTCATTTTTCCCAGCTAATAAGCGAGAAAATATGAGACATCTATTTGTGTGCTCTAAGAAATTACAATAGCGTAAAGCAGCCACTGTCCTAAAGTTCATGCTATACCCACAGTAAGTCACGATTATCAGGGCGAAACTTGGGGAAGGGCCTGGAAAGCAGCCCACCTTTTTTTTTTTTTTTGAGACAGTATCACTGTCGCCCATGCTGAAGTGCAGTGGCGATCTCGGCTCACTGCAACCTCTGCTGCCCGGGTTCAAGCGATTCTCGTGCCTCAGCCTCCCGAGTAGCTGGGATTACAGATGCCTGCCACCGCGCCCGGCTAATTTTTTTTTTTTTTTTTTGAGACGGAGTTTCGCTCTTGTTACCCAGGCTGGAGTGCAATGGCGCGATCTCGGCTCACCGCAACCTCCGCCTCCCGGGTTCAAGCAATTCTCCTGCCTCAGCCTCCTGAGTAGCTGTGATTACAGGCAAGCGCCACCATGCCCAGCTAATTTTTTGTATTTTTAGTAGAGACGGGGTTTCACCATGTTGACCAGGATGGTCTCGATCTCTCGACCTCGTGATCCACCAGCCTCGGCCTCCCAAAGTCCTGGGATTACAGGCTTGAGCCACCGCGCCCGGCCCGGCTAATTTTTTTGTATTTTTAGTAGAGTCGAGGTTTCACCATCTTGGCCAGGGTGGTCTCGAACTCCTGACCTCGTGATCCATCCGCCTCGGCCCCGCCTCCCAAAGTGCTGGGATTACAGGCGTGAGCCACTGCGCCCGGCCTAGCAGAACACCTTTCTAGAAGACGAATAACACAGAACGCTTGGCCGAGAATAGCCACAAGATGGAGGACAAGAGAGTAAAGAAAAAAACTCAGGGAAAGCGCATGGGTGGAACCCGACGGAAGTGGGGTAGTTATTCTAATTTAGGCCCTTCCGCACTATTGGCTGGACGCTCACCCTTTTTCCTTTTCCATTGGCCACCGGTCCCTTCCCTGGGTCAAAACAGCCAATCGCCTAGCGCCATGGGTAAGCCCGCCTTTTCTCCCGGTGAGGAGGAGCCCAGAAGAGCCGAGGTGCAGGAGGCGCTTGCGCGAGCGCGCGCTCCGCCGGTTGAAAGCGGATCGGGGCAGGAGGCGGCGTCGCGGTGTATGAATATTGATTACGCGTCGCGGCGCCCTGTGCCCGCCCCTCTCGGCCGCCCGACGCTCGCTGCTCGCGCTTGGGCTCGCGATGGGGAAGAAGTCCCGGGCGGTACCCGGCCGCAGGCCTATCCTGCAGCTCTCTCCGCCGGGTCCTCGAGGTAGCACGCCGGGCCGGGACCCGGAGCCGGAACCGGACGCTGAGCCGGACTCGACGGCAGCGGCCCCCAGCCAGCCCGCCCCGGCGGCGGCGACGACCACCGCCGCCTCGGTGACTGCCGCCGCAGCCCCGGACGACTCGTCTTCAGAAGGCAAGGGTGCGCGGGGGGCCCCGGAACTCGAGCTCAGGGCTTGCGGCCTAGGCTCCTCAGGACGCCTGGCCGGATGTGGCGAGGGAGGCGGGCGAGGTCGGCCTCCGAGGCCTGCCTGCTGCGGGCCTGCGGGCGGGGCGGCCGTGGGCTCCGGGCCGCAGAAGGACTCGGCCGGGCTCTGCGCTCTCGGCTCGGGCCTACCCTGAGGCGCCATCTCTGGTGCGGGGGTTGCCTCGGGAACATTTGCACTGCGACCGAGGCTCGGGCACCCCCGAGTCTCCCAAACGCCCCGGGTCGTTTTTGGGTCACGCAGAGGGTTGGTGTGAGGCTGCGTTTCCGCGTGCGCGGCCTGTGACTGTGGTCCGGGCTTTTCCAGCGCGTCATCTGCCTCCTTTCGGCGTTGTTGAAACGGAGACAAAGACGTTTAGAAGTTCTTTTTAACGTGCCAGCCGACGAGTTGTCCCCACACTAGCAAAAGTCCTGGAGAAATGGAGCTTGGGGGTTCCCAGGTATTTGTGTGGTTCTCGCCGGAGTGGTCTTGGATTAAAAGTGACTGCGGGGCTGGGCGCGGAAAGAGCCGCGACCTTTTCGGGTGTTCAGAGATCACTGATGCTGGGTCGTTAGTTGCAAAAAAAAATCCGCAATAGCGGTGTTTGGCGTTTCTCGTACAGGTCCTATCATAGCCTGGAGAATACTTACTGTTTTTCTGTGTATTTGTAAGTATTGCAGATGTAACTTTTAGAGAGTTTAGTTTTTTTTGAGGTAAGGTCTCGCTCTGTCGCCCAAGCTGGAGCGCAGTGGCATGATCTCGAGCTCACTGCAACCTCTGCCTCCGGGTTCAAGTGGTCCTCCCGCCTCAGCCTCCTGGGTAGCTGGCACTACGGGACCCTGCCACCACGCCCAGCTGATTTTTGTATTTTCAGTAGAGACGTGGTTTCTTCTGGTCTCCAACTCCAGGGCTCAAGCGATCGTTATAAGCGAGAGCCACCGCCCGGCCATGCATCTGTATTAATAATTTTTATTCACCATGATCAGAGTCGTCTCTTGATGTTGAAGTTTCTAGGCACATGAAGGACTGCAGGGCGTGGTGGCTCACGCCTGTATCGGGAGGCCGAGATAGGCGGATCACTCGAGGTGAGGAGTTTGACTAGCCTGGGAACAAGAGTGAAACTCTGTCTCAAAAAAAAAAAAAAAAAAAAAAAGGTTGCAGCTCTGCGTGTTTATCATCTCCCAATTATTTGGGTCAGCGAAATGTCCTTATTTTTTATTTTTATTTTTTGAGATGGAGTCTCCCAAAAAAAAAAAAAAAAGAGATGGAGTCTCCCTCTGTGGCCAAGGCTGGAGTCTGGAGTGTCTGTAACCTCCACCTCCTGGGCTCAAGCAATCCTCCTACCTCAGTCTCCCAGTAGCTGGAATTAAAGGCAAGCGCCACCACGCCCGCCTATTTTATTTATTTATTTATTTATTGGCATTTTTAATAGAGAATGGGGTTCAATATGTTGGCCAGGCTGGTCTTGAACTCCTGACCTGAAGTTATCCACCCACCTCCACCTCCCAAAGTGCTGGGATTACAGGTGTCAGCCCTGCCAAAATCTACTTTTTAAAAAAATTGATGAAATGTAGACCTGAAAGGTTAAATCAAAAGGTTGATTTGTCACCTCTAATGTTTTCTCTGGTCTGGAGTCTGACTGTGTTTTTTTTTTTTTGCTTTTTTACATTCAGATGAACAGGAAGTGGTGGTGGAGGTTCCTAGAGTCGTTCAGAATCCTCCAAAACCAGTCATGACCACCAGACCCACAGCCGTTAAAGCAACAGGTATGCTTTTGTTTTATTTCTTACATTTTTTCTCATGTCTTTCATTAAATTCAAACTGGGTTTATGTAGAATGTTCTGTTGACTGCTTTAGTGTTGCTCACATTATTACTCCCAAAAACATGATTGAAGATTTGTTTGTTTGTGAGGGAATGTTGAGGGATATACACTTAGACCAGTGCAAAATTTGTTGTTTCTCTGTACCCAAAATGTTTTTTACTACTTTTTTTTTCCTGATGCTATTTTATAACTAGTTTTCTAGTCCTCCCACTAGCTTGGTGTTCATTAGGCCTGCCAGCTACTATTCCTTTTCTAACACTCTGGCTTGACTGGTTGCCTAACAAATGTTGGTGGATCTGAAATTGATTTTTTTTTTTTTTTTTTTTTTTGAGACGGAGTTTCACTCTTGTTACCCAGGCTGGAGTGCAATGGCGTGATCTTGGCTCACCGCAACCTCCGCCTCCTGGGTTCAGGCAATTCTCCTGCCTCAACCTCCTGAGTAGCTGGGATTACAGGCATGCGCCACCATGCCCAGCTAATGTTTTGTATTTTTAGTAGAGACGGGGTTTCACCATGTTGACCAGGATGGTCTCGATCTCTTGACCTTGTGATCCACCCGCCTTGGCCTCCCAAAGTGCTGGGATTACAGGCTTGAGCCACTGCGCCTGGCTCCTGTCTCTATTAAAAATAAAAAAATTAGCTTGGTGTTGTGGCAGGCACCTGCAATCCCAGCTACTCAGGAGGCTAAGACAGGAGAATTGCTTGAACCCAGCATCGCACCACTGCACTCCAGCCTGAAATTGATCTTAATAAGTATTTTCAAGTACAAAGGAATACTGTAGTTACAACAGTGGTTTTGTAGACAAACGGGTTTAATTCATCACTCTGGCATTCACACTTACACTTTGGGGCAGTTACTCATTGGGTTGAACTTGATTCATCTGTAAAATGGATCTTTTATCTCTAAGATATTTCCAGATGTATATGAAGTTCTGACATAGTGCCAAGGATGTTAATTTCCTCTATATATCTTGGAAGAGTAAAATGTGTTTTAATGCTAAATACTCCAGGGCTGGGCGCGGTGGCTCAAGCCTGTAATCCCAGCACCTTGGGAGGCCGAGGTGGGTGGATCATAAGGTCAAGAGATCGAGACCATCCTGGTCAACATGGTGAAACCCCGTCTCTACTAAAATTACAAAAAAAAAATTAGCTGGGCATGGTGGCACCTGCCGGTAATCCCAGCTACTCAGGAGGCTGAGGCAGGAGAATTGCTTGAACCCAGGAGGCGGAGGTTGCAGTGAGCCGAGATCGCGCAATTGCACTCCAGCCTGGGTAACGAGCGAAACTCCGTGTCTAAATATATATTGGCAATAATTTCTTTTCAGTTCAGAATACTTGTGTAATTTTTTTTTTTTTTTTGAGTCAGAAGTTTCCTCCTATTGCCCAGGCTTGAGTGCAATGGCACCATCTTAGCTTACTCCAGCCTCTGCCTCCTGGGTTCAAACGACTCTCCTGCCTCAGCTTCCTGAGTAGCTGAGATTACAGGCATGCGCCACCATGCCTGGCTAATTTTTTTTGTATTTTTAGTAAAGACGGGGTTTCTCCATGTTGATGAGGCTGGTCTTGAACTCCCAACCTCAGGGGATCCGCCTGATCCCAAAGTGCTGGGATTACAGGCATGAGCCACCGTGCCCCGTTATTTTTTGTACTGTTTGATACTTAAAATGATAGATGTTTATTTCTCTCTCTCCACCATTTGCCACTAAAAAAAAAAACCAAACACCCCATTGTGGGTTAGAAAGCTAAAATTTGGTTGTGAGAGAAGTTTCAGAACTACATTACAGCGTTTTGTATTTGGAAGATGTATATGTTATTTCATTTGAGACTAAACACTTATTTAAAATATATAGAGGCCGGGCGCGGTGGCTCAAGCCTGTAATCCCAGCACTTTGGGAGGCCGAGGCGGGTGGATCACAAGGTCAAGAGATCAAAACCATCCTGGTCAACATGGTGAAACCCCGTCTCTACTAAAAATACAAAAAATTAGCTGGACATGGTGGTGCGTGCCTGTAATCCCAGCTACTCAGGAGGCTGAGGCAGGAGAATTGCCTGAACCCAGGAGGCGGAGGTTGCGGTGAGCCGAGATCGCGCCATTGCACTCCAGCCTGGGTAACAAGAGCGAAACTCCGTCTCAAAAAATAAATAAATAAATAAATAAATAAATAAATAAATAAATAAATTAAATAAAATATATAGAATTTAGCCAGCAGTGGTGGTATATGCCTGTAATTCTGGCCCTTTGGTAGACTGAGGTGGTTGGATCACCTGAGTTCAGGAGTTCAAAACCAGCCTGACCAACATGGTGAAACCCTGTTTCTACTAAAAATACCAAAATTAGCCAGACGTGGTGGCGCATGCCTGTAATCGCAGCTACTCAGGAGGGTGAGACACAAGAACCCAGGAGGCAGAGGTTGCAGTGAACTGAGGTCACACCACTGTACTCCAGCCTGGATGACACAGTGAGAACCTGTCTTAAATAAATAAATACATAAAATATAAATTTAAATGTTATTTAGGAGAAACTTCATTGATTACTCCTGTGGTTTGAATGTCCCCTAAAGATGTAAACACCTTCCATTAGGCCCCCACTTTCCAACACTGTTGCATTGGGAATTAAATTTCCAAAACATCCTTTTTTTTTAAAAGTTAAAAAAAACTTTTTTTCCCGAAAGCATCCTTTTTAGGGGCACATTCAAGCCATAAGAGGTATTTTAGTTTATTATTATTATTATTATTATTATTTTTTGAGACGAAGTTTCACTCTTGTTACCCAGGCTGGAGTGCAATGGCGTGATCTCGGCTCACCGCAGCCTCCGCCTCTTGGGCTCAGGCAATTCTCCTGCCTCAGCCTCCTAAGTAGCTGGGATTACAGGCACGCGCCACCACGCCCAGCTAGTTTTTTTTGTATTTTTAGTAGAGACGGGGTTTCACCATGTTGACCAGGATGGTCTCGATCTCTTGACCTCGTGATCCACCCGCCTCGGCCTCCCAAAGTGCTGGGATTACAGGCTTGAGCCACCGCGCCGGGCCTAGTTTATTATTTTTATAAGCCAAAGTCTTGCTCTGTTGCCCAGGCTGGAGTGCAGTGGCACGATCTCAGCTCACTGCAGCCTCTGCCTCCTGGATTCCAATGATTCTCCTGCCTCAGCCTCCCAAGTCGCTGGGATTACAGGCGCATGCTACATACCCGGCTAATTTTCGTATTTTCAGTAGAGACAGGGTTTCACCATGTTGGCCAGGCTGGTCTTGAATTCCTGATCTCAGATGATCTGCCTGCCTTGGCCTCCAAAAGTGCTGGGGTTACAGGTATGAGCCACCGTGCCCAGCCAAGAGTTATATACTTAAGAAATAATTTACTGCCTGATACGGTTAGCTGATAGAGAAATTGTATGGCACCATCCCTCAAAGGTAGGTAAGAATGTTGAGGTTTGACGGGTCAACATCCCTCTCAAAAAAAGACTGTTTAAGACTATGGCTCTGAAGAATGACTGTGGTTTCTCAGGCTTGTAAGTAGCAACAGACTTTTTTTTTTTTTTTTTTTAGATGGAATTTTGATCTTGTTGCTGAGGCTGGAGTGCAGCTGCCTGATCTTGGCTCACTGCAACCTCCGCCTCCTGGGCTGAAGTGATTCTCCTTCCTCAGCCTCTTGAGTAGCTGGGATTACAGGTGCACGCATGCTACCACACCCAACTAATTTATACATACATTTTACATATATATATACACACACACATATAAAGTATATATTATATACAAAGCGTATAAATATATATGTATATATTTTTGAAGAGATGGGGTCTTGCTCTGTTGTGCAGGCTGGAGTGCAGTGGCACGATCTCAGCTCATTGCAACCTCTGCCTCCCCGGTTCTAGTAATTCTTCTGCCTCAGCCTCCCTAGTAGCTGGGACGATAGGTGCACACTGCCACACCTGGTGAATTTTTTTTTTGTAGAGACAGGGTTTCATCCTGTTGCCCAGGCTGGTCTCAAACTCCTAAGCTCAAGCAGTCCATCTGCCTTGGCCTCCCAAAGTGCTAGGATCACAGGTGTGAACCACCACGCCCGGCCATTTTTATATTTTTAGTAGAGACAAGGTTTTGCCATGTTTGCCAGGGTGGTCTTGAACTCCTGACCTCAAGTGATCAGCCTGCCTCAGACTCCCAAAGTGCTGTGATTACTGGTATGAGTCACCACGCCCAGCCTGCAACACATCTTAGTAGTAATCTAGAACTTGTTGTAATTACTTAGTAGTAATCTAAAACAACAACAACTCAGTGTTGAAGTGATCTTACCACATTGGTCTTCCAGAGTGGTGGCATTACAGGCAGAAGAAGCCACTATGCTCAACCCAGGAACATAGTTTTTTTTTTTTTTTTTTTTTTTGAGACGGAGTTTCGCTCTTGTTACCCAGGCTGGAGTGCAATGGAGTTTTTTTTTTGTTTTTTTTTTTGTTTTTTTTTTGTTTTTGAGATGGAGTTTCGCTCTTGTTACCCAGGCTGGAGTGCAATGGCGCAATCTCGGCTCATCGCAACCTCCGCCTCCTGGGTTCAGGCAATTCTCCTGCCTCAGCCTCCCGAGTAGCTGGGATTACAGGCACGCACCACCGTGCCCAGCTAATTTTTTGTATTTTTAGTAGAGACGGGGTTTCACCATGTTGACCAGGATGGTCTCGATCTCTCAACCTTGTGATCCACCCGCCTCGGCCTCCCAAAGTGCTGGGATTACAGGCTTGAGCCACCGCGCCCGGCCCTTTTTTTTGTTTTTTTGAGACAGAATTTTACTCTTGTTGCCCAGGCTGAAGTGCAGTGGCGCAATCTCAGCTAACTGCAATGTTTGCTGCCCAGCCAGGAGGCTGAGGCAGGAGAATCACTTGAACCCAGGAGGTGGAGCTTACAGTGAGCTAAGATTGCACCACTGCACTCCAGCCCGAGCAAGAGGAGCAAAA